ACGGAATATTCTATGAACTGCCAAAAAAACAAACAAGTCTGCCTTGGAGGAAGGGCTGCCAGGGTTCTCCTCACAGGCAAGAATGGTGAAACTTCATCTCAAATACTTTGGGCCTGTTGTCAGGAGGGGCTATTCCTTGGGAAAAGATAACATGTTGGGAAAACTGGAGGTTCAGAGATAGAGAAAGAGCCACAAGGAAGATTGACACAATGACTACTGCTGGGGGCCGAGCCGCTTGTTCTACCTAGCTGAAGCCATTTTGTAATTCTCTGAAGCCATTTTGTAATTCTCTACATGTTTGGACATGTTGCCCCTCCCTGGGTGGATAGGTTTCAGTTTACCCACTCTGGGAGTATAGGTTTCAGCTTACCCCACCCTGGGAGGATAGGTTTCGGTTTACCCCACCCTGGGAGGATAGGTTTTGGTTTACCCCACCCTGGGAGGATAGGTTTCGGTTTACTGGGACCACCCTGCTAAGTTTCTGTTCACCAGATAACTTTCAGCTTACTGGAAACAACATGTTAGTCTCCCCTATTGTGTACTTCTCCTCCCCCCATTATGTTCCTATATATAAACTGTGAATGCTTTCAATAAAAAGACTTGATTGGAGATTTCGACTTGTCTTTCTGCTTTTGTGCCTCCTGTCCCCCCATTCTCTTTCTTCCCCTCCTAGGGTCACCGTTGAAGATCCCCACAGGCCGGGGCAGACTACGACCATGAGCTCAAGCATGTCAGAGTATATGAAGATGACATAGGATGGGGCACACTTCGGATCTGTTGTTCATAGTGTTTCTGAGGTGTAGTTGATTCAATAACACATAACAACAACAGAGTATTACCATTAACCTTTGGGCCATTTTCATTAACATAATAAATACAGCTTTACTGCCAGGAAGAATAAAAGTCTCACAGACCACCTTTTGTTTTAACTAACTACATACAGATGTTGTTGCTGTTGTTATGTGCTGTCAAGTTGCTTGTGACTCATAGCAACCCTGTGTAAAATAATTCTAAACTCTCTTCTGTCTTGAGCCAACCTTATCATCCCTGACACACCTACTCCCGTTACCCCAGTCACTGAGACAATCCATCTCATCCAGAATCTTCTTCTCTTTTGCTGTCGCTCCACCCTTCCAAGCATGATGTCCCTCTCCGAGGATTGGTCCCCTACTTGCAACATGCTCAAATTATATTAGATGGAACTTCAGAAGCCTTGCCTTGAAGAAGCAGCCTGGTTTCACCCTCTCCAGAACAAACCTGTTTGTTCTCCTAGCAGCCATGTTATATATTCAATTCTCTTCCCCAGCACCACAGCTCAAAGGCATCAACTCTCCTTCTATCATCCTTAGTCCTTGTCCAGCTTTCTGACACATAGCAAGTAATTGTGAAGACCATGGCCTGAATCAGGCACTCCTTAGTCTCCAGACTGACATTGTTATTCTTCAGTAAACTGGAGAGGTCCCTGACAGCAAATTTTCCCCAAATTCAATTAACCTTTTGATTTGCTGGCTGCAAGTACAAGAGTGTTGATTGTAGAGCCAAGTAAACTGAAGCTGTTAACAATCTCAGTCTCTTTACTGTCTATCACAATGCTGCCAATCAGCCCAGTGGTGAGAATATTAGTTTTCTTGATGTTGTTCAAGCTGCTCTGAAGGAATTGGCAAAAAAACAAGACCCTGGGAATTGACAGCACACCAGTTGACATATTTCAACAAACAGATGCTGGCCTGGATGCGCTCACCAAGTTGTGTCAAGAAATCGGGAGAACAACCACCTTGTCAACTAACTGGAAGAGATCTATGCTCTCATTGCCAAAAAAGTTGACCTTACAGTGTGAAGCAATTAATGAACAATGTCATTAATATCACTTGCAAGCAAGATCTTGATGAAAATTATCCAAAAACTCCTGAAACAGTGCATCAACAGAGAACTGCCAGATGTGCAGGCTGGGTTTAGAAGAGGCCTTGGAACTAGGGATATTATAGCTAATGTTAGATGGATCTTGTCTGAAAGCGGAGAATACCAGAGAAATGTCTATCTTTGTTTCATTCACTATGCAAAGGCATTTGACTGTATGGGTTACAACAAACTGTCTTGAACATTGAGAAGAATGGGACTCCCAGAACACTAAGTGTGCGTATGTGAAACCTATACTTGGACTAGAAAGTAGTGGTCAGAACAGAGCAAGGAAACACTGCATGGTTCAAAAACCAGGAAAGATATACACGAGGGATGCATCCTATCTCCTTACCTTTTCAATCTGCATCTGGAACAGATCATCTGGAAATCTGGGTTCTATGAAGAGTAACATGGCATCAGGACTGAAGGAAGATTTGTCAATATTTGTGTTATGCAGATGACACAACTTGGCTTGCTGAAACTGAGGAGGACCCAAGGCATTTGCTACACAAATTTGAAGCTCAATGTATAGATAAGTAAAGCAAAAAGGAGTCTGTGTGAAGATTCTACATACAAATTCTATATATAGAATAAACTGTATACAGATCTTATGCATTTTGAACCCACTTTGTAGGACAAAGACGGGCAAGCTTCTCCCTTGCCTTTTAAAACCTGCTGGAAGGTCAGCTATGGGTTGCTTCCAACTCTACAGGACAGAATAACAACATCAACCTTGTAACAAAGAAGGCTTCTTTTAAATATAAAGCAATACTTTCTAACAGTGAATATGTTGCCATTTGCCCCTTCAATTTCTTGATGTTGAGTTTCAATTCATTTTGAAAACTACAGTTCATGACCTCTAGCAAATGCCTCAGGTCTTCCTCAGTTTCAGCAAGCAATAATATGTCATCTGCATAATGCAGGTTGTTGATGAGTCATCCTCCAGTTCTTATGCCACATTACTCCTCCTAAAGTCCAGCCTCTCAAATTATCTTTTCTACATAAAGATTGAAAATGTATAGAAATAGGAGATATCCCTGACTCATTCCTCTCCTGATTTTGAACCATGCAGTGTTTCCTTGCTCTATTGTGAGGACTGCTTCCTTCTCCAAGTATAGGTTTTGCATAAACACAATCAAGTGTTCTGGGATTCCCATTTTTCTCAATGTTAGCCACAATGTGTCGTGACTCACATAATCAAATCCTTTACAGAGTCACTGAAACACAGATAGACATTCCTCTGGCACTTTCTACTTTCAGTCAAGATCCATCTGCCGTAGGCTATGATGTCCCTAGGGCCACAACCTCTTCTAAACCCAGCTGCATGACCTTCCAGAGAGAGGAAGAGGAAACCAACCTACAGCACACGTCTTGTGATGACTAAGCAACCAACTAGACAGACTCCATCCTGAAGGCCAGTTGCTAATGCCTCCTGATTTGTGTAATATATCCTTTTCTAAAATAACCTACTTTTCCCTTTTAAAAGTGCTAAATAAATGTGAGCCCTTTCCCACACTCTTAACCTGAGATAGGTTGGGCTCCCTTTGAGAACCTTGAGAACCCCTTCTGGGGTTCTCCTGTTATTGCCTTAGACTTTCTGTTATACAGTAACATCTGGTGATTGCTAATCCTTCAGTGCAATATGACATTGTTCTCTGGAGATTGACTTCCTGAAAATCTGGTCTGAAGTGGAACTGGTTTGAATCAGTTCCTAGAGAATGTTCAGAAACACTACTGGTGACTGAGAAACTATTTTCCCTAGCAGAAAGTAGAGTTATCTACAAGTCAGGGATATTGAATCAGAGAACCTTGCTTCATACACAGTGCATGTGCCTCATCAAATAAGTTACGTCTCTTGACCCAGAAGCCTCTGCAACAGCTTCCCTCTTGGAGATTCATCTACTCCACGCACTTAATTATTATAATCTCTTCTATACAGGCTATTTCCTGAAATTTCCCATCTTCTATTATGAATAAACAGAAAACCTCTTGTCACCTAAATCTTTATAAGCCTCACAGTTATTTTGTCCAGTAAGTCATGGGCTTTCATATCCAGCCCTCCATATCTCCCTTTGCAAAGTAATTTTACTTTGCAAAGTATTTGTCCTAATAAGCTGCTTTCTTTACTTGCATGGGGGGGGGAGGTGTGGACTCATATTTCATTGTTCTTACTTAGCAGATGGAAGACTCAAGTTTAGGACGTACCGTGGCAATATTTTCTAGGCAACCACATTTGAGGGGTGGCCT